AAAATAAAATAAAATGGCGGGACCAAGTTTGAAATTTCAAGACCGTCTAGCTCCCTTTAATATTAAGCTCTAATTTTCAAAATCGGGCCGAAAGTTGGTATCCATCAGCTGATCCAACCTACCTAAAGACAATTTATATAGTTAAATTAGGGGTTCCACGGTCGCCCCTTAAATCTTTTGTTTATCTAGCCGGGAGATGGTACTTGAAGCTATGCAGTAGCACGATCCCCGTATAAGCGTGGTCCAATGGCTAAGACCATGTGCTAGTGACTTACGCTTGGAGCGAGGGAGCAAGGGTTCGAACCTCGGCTGTGGGCGATTTTTGAAATTTTTTCTTCTTTTTTCTCTTTTGTTTATTTTACATAATATTGTTTACTTAATGTGTTTTTCGATAAATTAAGGGATCCTATATATAAAAAATTATTTTTTTTTCGTTTGGGAATTTTCAAATAATGCTTGAAAGCTGGAAAAATCCCGGAAAATAAGTTTATTTACAGCTTATTATTTTTTTAAACTTGTTTCACAATACTTTCACGATAGTTTATCATTCCAAAGGTGTCTTTTGTATAAAATCAAATGTCCTTCTTTGTGAAAGAACGTATAATGGAATAAAAAATAAAATAAAATAAAATGGCGGGAAAAAATTTGAACTTTCAAGACCGCCTAGCTCCCTTTAATATTAAGCTCTAATTTTCAAAATCGGGCCGAAAGTTGGTATCCATCAGCTGAACCAGCCTACCTAAAGACGTTCTTTATAGATAAATTAGGGGTTCCACAGTTACCCCTTAAATCTTTTGTTTATCTAGCCGGGAAAGGGTACTTGAAGCTATGCAGTAGCACGATCCCCGTATAAGCTTGGTCCAACGGCTAAGCCCGTATCCTAGATACTTACGCCTGGAGCGAGGGAGCAAGGGTTCCAACCCTGGTTGAGGTCGATATTAAAAAATTTTTCTTCTTATTTCTCTTTTGTTTATTTTACATTATATTGTTTATTTAATGCCTTTTTCGATAAATTAAAGGATCCTATATATAAAAAATAATATTTTTTTGTTCGAGTATTTTCAAATAATGCTTAAAAGCTGGAAAAATCCCGGAAAATTAGTCTATTTATAACATATTATTTTTTTTAAACTCTTTTTTCAATATTTTCCCGATAGTTTAGCATCTGAAAGGTGTTCTATGTATAAAATCAATTGTCATTCTTTGTGAAAGAACGCATAATGGAATAAAAAAAAATAAAAAAATGGCGGGAAACAGTTTGAAATTTCAAGACTGACTAACTCCCTTTAATATTAAGTTTTAATTTTAAAACTCGGTCTCAAGGTGGGCCTCTATAAGCCGAAACAACCATCCGAATTATATTTTTATAGATCAATTTGGGGGTTCGCTATGGCTCCTTAAATCTTTTGTTTAGCTAGCTGGGAGAGGGTACTTAAGGCTATGTAGTAGCACGATACCCGTATAAGCGTAGTCCAACGGCTAAGACCATGTGTTAGTTACTTACGCCCGGAGGGAGACGACAAGGGTTCGAACCCCGGCAGTATTTAATTTTCAAAATTTTTTCTTTTTTTTTCTCTTTTGTTTATTTTACATTATATTATTAATTTAATGTGTTCTTCGTTATATTAAAGGATCCTATATAAAAAAATATTAATTTTCTTTTGTTCGGAAATCTTCAAATAACTCTCAAAAACTGGAAAAATCCCGGAAAATTAGTTTATTTATAGTATATTATTTTTTTTAAAACTCTTTTTACAATATTTTCACGATAGTTTAGCATACGTAAGGTGTTCTATGTATCAAATCAATTGTAATTCTTTGTGAAAGAACGCATAATGGAATAAAAAATAAAATAAAATAAAATGGCGGGAAACAGCTTGAAATTTCAAGAACGTCTAACTCCCTTTAATATTAAGTTATAATTTTTAAACTCAGACTCAAGGTGGGCTTCTACAAGCTGAAAGACCCCTCCAAAGTATATTTTTGTAGATCAATTAGGGGGGTCGCTATGGCTCCTGAAATCTTTTGTTTAGCTAGCCCGGTGAGGGTACTTAAAGTTATGTAGTAGCATTATCTCCGTATAGTTGTGGTCAATCGGTTAAGACCATGTGCTAGTGACTGACGCCGGGAGCAAGAGAGCTAAAGTTCAAATCCCGGCTGAGGTCAATTTTTAAAATTTTTTATTTCTCTTTGGTTATTTTATATTATATTATTTATTTAAGGTGTTCTTCGATAAATTAAAGGTTCCTATGTATAAAAAATAATTTATTTTTTTTGTTCGTGAAGTTTCAAATAATGCTTAAAAACTTGAAAAATCCCGGAAAATTAGTTTATTTATATTATATTATTTTTTTAAGCTTGTTTTACAATATTTTCAGGATAGTTCAGCATTCCAAAGGTGTTCTAGGTATAAAATCAATTGTCTTTCTTTGTGAAAGAAAGCATAATGGAATAAAAAATAAAATAAAATAAAAGGGCGAAAAGAAGTTTCAAATTTCAAAACCGCCTAACTCCCTTTAATATTAAGCTATAATTTCAAACTCAGATCGAAAGTAAGGCCTCTACGAGCCGATACGCCTCACCAAAGTATAATTTTAAAGATCAATTAGGGGGTTGCTATGGCCCCTTAATCTTTTATTTAGCTCGTGGGGAGAGGGTACTTGAAGCTATGTAGTGGCATGATCCCCGTATAAGCGTGGTCCAACGGCTAAGACCATGTGTTAGTTACTTACGCCTGGTGCGAGGGGGCAAGGGTTCGAACCCCGGCTGTGGTCAATTTTTAAATTTTCTTTTCTTTTTTATTAACGAGAAATGCTTTTAAAAAGGAAAAACCAGATAAGTTATTTATTTTATTTCATTTTAACTTTTTTTCAATACTTTCGATATTTTAACGCAAATGAAATGCCTTCTACGCATAAAAAGTGGTACATATCTTTCTCAAAGATGCGAATAATAGAAAAAGGTCCCATATTCGAATTGTTTCCGAACACATTCTGTCAAGTTAGTTGAACCAGTTATCATATAATCAGTACTCGAACTCATTTTTTTTTTTAATTCAGTACTCGAATCCTCTAATTTTATCTAGTTCTCGAACTTGCTATCATTTGTTCAATACCGGATTCTACTATCATTTGCAGTGGCGTACGCAAGGGAGGGGTTTAGGGGTTCAAACACCCCGCCCCCCCCTTCCCCTGAGCTCAGACAAAATGGCAAAAATAAAAATTTTAGTTGAAATCATGCGAGCCATTATTTATTAAGACTATATATTTTTATGTGCCTTATGCCTACTTTTTTTTCTCATGGTATTTCTCAGAATACAGAAAAAACAGACTCAAATGTCTTTTAGTAGTTTCAGAAAGTTATGAACACCTCCCTTGAAAAAATTCTGCGTACGCCACTGATCATTTGATCATAGCTTAAATCCACTTTCTTTTTTCGGTACCACAGAGGAAGTGGCATACCCTCTGGGGGCGGTGGACGTAACTTCAAGAGGATGTCGTATGGTGGGTATAGTATTTGCTTGCTCCATAATGGCGGGCAGTTCAGCTTCTATTATAGAAGGACTTTAGTGTAAATCAATGCATTCGTATCATCAAGAGGAAGATATGAACACCTCTTTTTGTACTAAAATTTGTTGATAAAACAGAGAACCATCAGGAATAAGGGGATAACTCTGAAATGTTGTATATAACTAAGGTAAAAAAAATAACAAGATTAATGGAATTAATTCTCATGAACTTGTATTATTGTTTATCAATCAGAATGATATAATTTCGCAATTCATCTTCTAGGTATGAAAAAAAAAACACATAATTGCATCGCAACATGTCGCACTTGTTCCGAGTGCCATCACAAAAGTATGCCATTTGGCGAGTGACTGTTTTTGTTCTATTAAGTGTCCCGTAGTGGACTGATTGTAAAGACGAGGTTCCCAGTAGAAGCAGGGCCCGACTTCCTCTGCTTCACTTTTCCAGAAATGAAGAACCGAACTACGGTGGTATTTAAATTTTTCACCTCATAATAGATAACAAGAAAATTGACTCGAACCTAAAATAGTTATAAACCCCCTCCCGCAATGGTCAAACGAAATATCATTCAGTCCATTTTACTGATTTTCTGACAATTCCATGTCCATCATTCCGAATGCAATTTTCTGATTGTAAACTTAGTCATCTATCTACAAAAAATTCATATCCTTGCTGACATTAGGGCGGAATTCAGCAAAATTTTCGAAATTACGATGTTTCAATAAAGCCAATCAGAAACCTGTATTTTCTTTGACATATCGCATTTTGGCGATATGTAAAAATACAGGTTTTTGATTGACCTAATTTGTCCACCGTCATTTCGAAAATTTAGCTGAATTCCGCCCTAGAAAGCCATGGAATTACGAAATATAGATAGTGTTCATACGATAGGTTAATGAAGAAGCCAACATAAAACTGACAATTTTATTTTTATAAAATGTTCATTAATGAAGGAAACTTAAAATAAACTTTCTGATCGATTTGGGGCCCCCTATAATGTGGGTCCCTGGGAACTGCCCCGTATGTCCTTGCCTTAGTCAGGCTCTGAGTAGAACACCGAAGTCAAGTATCTCTGGCTGCTGTCAATGTGCGAGTGGGCGACCGCTTTGATCAGCTTGAGCAGTGACCGAGGGTACGTCGTATCGTTCTCGTTAAACTGTTCTACTGTAAAGGGCTCGACGAGTAGGTTGTTGGGATACCAAAGCAGGGGAGCCATTCCCTCTGCAGAGGTTCGAAATTGTGACGGCATGTCTTCGGATCGTCCTCAGGGACGTTTCCCAGATCGTTGCCCTTTCCGAGATCGTTGCTAATAGCCCATTGTGCAGCTCTAGTGCGAAGTTAATGAAGTACCTCTCTTAAAAATGGTAACCTTTTTAGTGTTGCCAAAAGACAACGTATTTTTCTCTCTCTTTTCATGGATTCCTAGTTTCTATTTAATACCCCTTGACTCAAATAATAAATTCTTTTTTTGGTTAAGTTAATAAATGCTGATTGGCATCATTGATGAAGAGGTGATAGCAGAAGAATGTTGATGTGAGAACCGTGAAAACATAACTATTGAACTGATTGTTGGGGTTTATTTAATCGAAATTATCATTTAGTCTAACAATTTTAAAAAAATAATTTCGAATGATTTGTTTAACTTGAAAATAAAAAATACATATATCTTTACAAACTTGCACTAAAATGGCCGGGCAAACTTTGCATGATAGACTTGTGGCTGCAAAGCATACTATTTATGGACAAAATGTAGAAAAAGCTGTTTGTAAAGCTACTACTGAAGAAATTATAGGACCAAAGAAAAAACACTTAGATTGTAAGTGACTGAGTACTGTATATAAAAGTTATATATATTGAAAGTTAAAATTATTAAATTGTGTACGCACTGCAGTCAATATGTTATTAATATGTTTAGTTTTTGTATTTTTCTTTCACTGTGAACTGTATTTATCGTGATTATTTCTATGAGAATTATGCTGATAATTTCTAGCTTTTATTTCCCTATTTGCAAGTATAATACAGTATTATAGCAATTAAACAGTAGTTACAGGGTTCCAAATGTTCCGTTGGTTCAAGACCGCTAAAATTGTACTCGAACTAACCTAACATAATTATTAGTTGTGCCACTGATGAGGTTTTTCTGTTTTGGATTTCGGTTTTATGTTTTAGTCTGTGTTTTCGTCACAATATAGGACATTTTATAATTATGACAATACATTCTTTTAATTGAAATTTTTCCTTAAAATTGATTTAAAAAAAAATCTTATTAAAGACATGTAAATGAACTAGTGAAAAAATCTATGGACTAGTAATATCGGGGATATTTCCGTATCTTGATCAGTGGAAAAATCATGTTTTGGCAAATCATGTCATGCCTGCTAGAAGCCAAAAAAAAAAAAAAAACTTAGCAGAAAGGAACCAACTCGAAACGTATAACTTGTAGCCACTCCTGAGTAAACATGTACATGTTTTTTTTTTTAAAATTGCAAGTTAAAAATCTATTTGGAACCTTGGCGATTGTTCTCGTCATGATGTGGAAATATCCCTGCTGGTTCCTCTGAGCAATAACTAAATTCTCTTGATTTTTACCTCTGTAAGCATTTAAACTATGTTAGCAAGCTTTTGTTTAGTATTAAGACAATCAAACTACTGAATTAGATCTAAAAGAATGATAAAAGTATTTTGATTACTTTTTGTGTACAGTGTAATAAAAGAATTCAATTTCAAGATAATTATTCATGTTTAGATTTATGCGGTGTTTCATTTGATGCTGCAATTCTCCTGTTAAAGTACAACTAATTGTCACAAACTAGTTGTGCCAAGGTAATATTTCCATACTTAAACCTGTTCGCCCAAACTACAATTGCCGAGACAGTAAAGGGGTTTTGAACTCGCTTGAGTTTTGAAATAAAATTAGTCTATTTGGTTCCCTATTGTGATAAAATTTTTGTTTCTTACATGCCTTGTCCTGGAAGTCTCCAAAACCTGATGATTATTTTAGTCTTGTGTTGTGATGTTTGTTTTTATTCGGACAACAGGACTATTAATCAAAAGTCGACTGTATAAGTAGAAACAGATGCAGGGTTGCCACAGGTTCTTAAAATGAGACTATTTGCAACTATTTTTGTGGAATTTTGTTGTAGTCATTGTGGACTTTTTTTTATTTCAAAATGAGAACAGAAAAATCAGGAGTATTTCTTTCCTTTCCGATAAACGAGAAAAGTATCTCTAGAATATGATTTAATTCTATAAGAAAAAATAATGTGTTTTTTTTTTTTTTTTGCTTTTGTATTTTTTTTTTTAGCTATTTTATTGATTCAACTCTTTCATTACTGTTTTTTAAATATGAAATCTATAAATATGAAGATGCAGAGTATAACAGTTTTGGTTATACCTATTATTTCAATTAATGTTATTATAATGCTTTTTTAAATTTATTGTTGTGTTTTTGTTGGAGAAAATAGTAACTTCGTTAAATCAGGAAAAATTCTTTTAATTAGTCATGGAAAGTCATGAATTTGAAAATCTAAAATGTAGCAGATGACCTGTATTTTTTTCATCACAGACTTTCAATATTGAGTTTTTATTTTTCTACAAACTCCTCACAGACTTTGTCATACGCACTGGTACTTTGGCCAGACATTTTAAAAAATTTAATGTTATATTTTTCGATATTTTCCAGCTAACTATTCCTTTAAGGATATTTTGAGCTCTACATTGCTCCATGCTCATCATTAGGCTTTTTTCCACAGCAGAAAATTTACTAGCTTTAATTTTTGTTTACCCAGTGTTCTTCCCACAAAAAATACACAATTCACTTGCTTCTATTGAATTTTCTTTTGTTAGCCAGTTTGAACAGATAACTAATATAAAATTTCATCTTCTCTAAATGCTGTTTAAAAATGATTTGTGACTTTTTCAGGGGCCATAAAAGAAAGCAAAGCATGCAAAAAAGGTAAAACTGATAATAAAATTTACATACTTTGCTTTCAACCAGACTACTTCTAGCAAAAGTCAATATTATTGAACTGCCATTATGAGATTTACTTTTCGAGATTTGGAACTATTATTCTGGTTTAAAGTGAAGCATGACGCTTTCATCTCTGTTTTACAGAACTGGTATTTTTTTCCAGGCGAAACTATTTTTATCAGTACGTAGGGAGAAAAAAAAACTCAGAAGAAACTGGACAAAATGGAAGAAACTGAAATTGGTTGATGTAATTGTTTTGCAATAACAATAATTTAAATTTTATCAAATTAAGAATACTTTAAATTTTATTAAAATTAATTTAATATAGTACTAAAAAGTTGGATATTTTTCATCTGAACTCGTTTTAAAAATAGTTTATTTTAGTTTTATACAAAATTTACGTATCTTGTTTTTTAAGAGCCTGTTTGAATATTCATATTTAACAGTGTAGTGTATCTACCACTACAAAAATACAATTCCAATTTACTAGTATATGTAAGACATGTTAACTCGATTCTGTGATGGGATACCTTTTAATAGATGAAAGCTGACATGGTCAATGTGATTCCCCCACAACAATATTTGATTATACCCAGGGGCGGATCCAGAAATTTTTCCTGGGGAGGGTCCTAGACTCAAATCCCCCCCCACCTAATTTTTTGTATAAAATAAATGTTTTTTAATTTTTTTTTTTTTTTGAAAAAACAAACTGGTTTTTAATGCTAGTCTACTCATTTATTTTTTTCATAATGAACAATAGAACAATACATAAATAATTCAAATATTCAACATCTTTAAATAATAAATGTAATGCGTTTTTTAGAAACTTTAGCAAATCTGTCAATGATTTTTTCAACATCCAAATCAATTTCTCGATGAATGTTTAATAACGCGAGTTCATTTAATCGTTCTTGATTTTAAGTTGCTCTAAGCCAAGTTTTGAGACGTCGAAGAGTTGAAAGGGAATGTTCTGCTATTGCTGCACTAACTGGCAAAGTTATTAAAATTTCTCAACAACATATTGATTGATGGGTACAAATCTTCGATGGCACTTCAAGTTCTGCTTCTGTTTTACGCTGCCATTTTGCCACTCAAAGACGAAATTCTGTTTCGGCAACTTTTATGAAAGCATTTAAGAGATTCTTATAAAACTCAGCAGTTTCACAAACGGCTATAAAATCTTCTTCTGTAGCAGTTTGACAAGGTAAAAAAACTCGTCAATTAAAAAGTTTCATCACATCTGGGGAAAGTCTGTCCTTTAAATCTGTTAAAATATTATCCAATAAAGGAATATAAATAACCTTCCAAAAATATTCTTCTGGGATCTGGTTTGACTGATTATTATTTCTTTGTGTTCGTCGAGTATTTAATCGAGTTTCGCAAGTTTCCCATCTTCACCGTTATACAATCTTTGGTTAAACTCGTTGAAGCACGCTTCAACATTTTTTATGTTAAAATTAGGCTATGACAAATTTCGTTTTAATCTTTTTGATTAGGCTTCTTGAAACAGTGACGAACATAATTAGATGGGGGGAAAACGATTTTTCCGACCTACCTAGGTGTATATGCCCCCTTAAATAATTTTTAAAATTTTCTATTTCTTTTATAAACTATTAAAAAAATTATTATTATTATTATTTTCAATTTTTGGGGTGTCATGACCCCCCCCCCCCCTNCCCCCCCCCCCCGCTGGAATCGCCACTGATTATACTAGTTAGTATACTATTTGTTTTTGTGAATCCAATGAGGGAATTGTAGTAGTGTTTGTAATTTGTTAAGTTAATTGTAAAATTTGATTATGATGTTATAACAGTTCTTTACACTAATTATAAAATAAAGATTTACTGTACTTTTTTACGGAAAAGATTACAGTTATTTTAATTTTCTAAGAAATTGATTAAATTAATTTTTGCATCTTATGTCACAATGTTTCAAAGAATTTTATTGATTGTGATACCTGCTACAAACTTTTCAACACTTCATCAGTTGTTGCAATGCCTTCCTTTCATTTTCATGTACTGTTTTATATATATATGTATTGCAATTTTATTTTCCTACCAAATTTAGTGCTATTATATATTTATTTAAATGTATATTATATTACAGATTTGATTCATTGTACTAATGAACCAAATGTATCAGTGCCAGAGCTGTGCAATTTCCTTATTCAGAGGACACAACAAACTTCCTGGGTGATGGTTTTTAAGTCTTTAATTACAGCTCATCATCTAATGTGTTATGGCAATGAGGTATGTTTTTTTATGAATGAATATGGTGTGTGTGTGCATTTATATGATATATATACAATATGAACACTAACTCGAATCCTTTAATTGTTTAATCCGTTTTTTTCTTTTAATAATGTGTTCAATTTTACTCTTAAATAAACAGTCATGCTATTTTTTTAAATATATATATACAGGGATCTGTCCAGGGCAAATTTACTACCGTTTAGCAGTACCTTCACAAATTCAACTTGCAGTAGTTTCATAAAATACTTTTAAAAAAGAAAATTCTAAGATTAAGACTCTTAAAATTTTGTTTTTGTATCCCCCTAAGAAACGATAAATACCGGGTTAATTCCGCATGTACAAATAGGTATCACGTGCTTGATCAGATAGTACGGTATAGTAAGCCTATTATAGCATACTAATTATAGCGAGATTTTTTTTTTTAATTAAACAACAAGACGCTCCCTCTGTAAATTTTACAGGAAGTTGAAATTCCAACTAACTTATTCTAAGCATTTGAACATTGTTCTAAATTTATTCTAACAGACCTTCATTTAAGTTGAAATTTGGACAATGGACAATGACTTTTATGGATTTTTAAATTCGGATACAATTTTAAGCCAAAAAGTTTACAATAGAAAAATTATTTTTGAATATATGGGGAAAAATTTATAAGCATTTACCAGTCATAAAAACTTTTTTTTTGTAGTAACAATTTTTGAAAATATCTTCTTACTTTACCATATTTTTGTGTTGATTTTTTATTATAATTTTTAATTTTCGCAAATTATGTCTAAATTTTCACAAAATAGGTACCTCTCATAAAAACCTAGATAGACCCCTGATATAAGCATGTTTGTTTTTATTCTTAAATGACTTAGTTTTTAAGATTTTCTCTTTTGCCCATTACCAGAAAGCCGGTAACCAGTTTCAGTAATTGTGTAATAATTTTAGGAGTACCCAAATTTGTTTTTGTTAACATATTTTACAAGAAGAAATTTATAGGAATTTTTAACCAAACATTTTTTAAAGTACACTAATTTTTATGATATGAAATTAAAAGCAATTGTTAGCTTCAAAAAAACACAATTGTTATTTTATTAAAAGAGATTTATCATTCATGATTGATAAATTTGTTTTTACACATAATTATGTCAGTTGGGATCATTTTTACTGATGCTAAATTCTATTCATTGATCCAATTTTCATGATAATAAAAGTGGCATTTCTGCAGCAAGAAAATGACACTGAGTAAAATTCAAATTGCTTGCAAAAAATCATGTACTTTCAATGACATTTAAAAGTCAGTTGAGGTAACCCCTAAGAAGGACCAATGTCCATTAACGACCATTTTACTGTGGGACAGACAGTGGTCGCTCTGGAGAGATTTCACTGTGCTATTTTTTCAATGGAATGAAGTCATATTTTTTCCAAATTTTAAATATGTTTAATATCTTTTTTAAGGTTTTTTTTTATATATATAACCGTCGTTGAACAGCCGACCCAATTTTATGGGTTTACGACTACTAATGTTCATCTCTGTAGCCTTGTAATTTTAAACCCAATCTAGAAGACAAGGGAACTCCTGGGTCGAGTATTAGGAGAAATTTGCCTTCGTGGAGGACTTTTTTTGATGGAGCTATCCTACATTTGCGTTACATGGAGAGGAAGACCACAGGAACCTCCCACTGTTAGCCTGACGGCAAGGTGACTCTAACCCATGATCCATCTACCACTGAGATATTTCATCTCAACACTGTGGTTGGTGCAAGCCGGATGCGAAATTCGTATCGACTGGGATTTGATCCCGGTTCGCCTCATTGGAAGGCGAACGCTTTGGCCCCTAAGCCATCGCGGCTTTTAAGGTTGTTTTTCGAAGATTTTTTATGTCATGTTGCAAATTTAGTTATTTTTCTGTTAGACTAGGGTGCACAACGTTTGGCCTGCTGGTCTCATGCGGCCCGCCTACTCTCGATGTGCGACCGGCGGTAGCAACCTGAACAAAATGAAACAAGTACGGTAATTTGAATTTGCACATTTAAGCTTTGATGTACCCAATCTCAATCAATGCGGTTTTTTTGGTCGTTTTTTTTTCCAATGGTTAACGCTTTTTGATTGATCTTAGTTCGATCGCTTTTTATTGATGGCTTACTTTTATGTAAACATATTACAATATTATCTGATAAAAAGAATTTTGTGCTTAGAACAACGATGTTTATATAACAATCACTTCCTACAATTACTGTCTAAATACTTTTGTATGCGGGCCTTTGTTGGTCAATCTGTTATACAGGTGGCCCTTCTGTTAAAAAGGTTGTGCACCCCTATATTAGACTTTTTATTGAAACACTAAGATAGACTTGCTGTTGCCTAATGACAGAACCAGCTTCCAATTTTTTGAAAAAGGAATGTATTCTTAAGGTACAATATCACTGTCACCCTTTTCCTGAACCAACGAGAAGCTTTAAAATAAACATTAATTATGGCAGGTATATTAATTTACTAACATATTTCTGTGTTTTTTACTGTACATTTTCAGAATTATGTTTTTAATTTATGATACTTTTACAGAGATTTATTCAGTGCATGGCAACATCTAGTTGTTCATTTCACCTGAGTAGTTTTGTTGATAGGACTGCATCTCAAGGTAAGCCATATGCATAAACAAAAAATTTCCTAATATAATAATTACAAAATATATTTTAAAACAATGAAATATTTTATTACTACTTTTAAAATTATTCATTCCTCCCAATTTTAAATTAATTCAAATGAACACTGTTTTTTTTTCTTCTTTTTTTTCCTTCAATTTTTTTTACCTTAAATAAATGCTTTATTAAACTAAAACAATTTTTTTTTTCATTGCAAGTCACTAATTCTAAGTTATTTTTTTCACTGAATTTATGTATTGGCCCTGAATTAAAATGAGATTCTAAACCTGAATCTATCTATAGGAATTTAACAAAGTCATACCTGTCGAGTCTCCTGTTTTATAACGAAGACTCCTGTATTTTACAACTATCTCCTGTTTACCTGTATATTCTGAAATTTCTCCGTATTTGCTAAAGAAATTTTTTTTAAAAATTGAGGATAAAATATCGGCTAATGGCAAAAAATTCCTCAGCAGATAATGATATTGCCAGTACTGCAGTGTGTTGAGTGCTTATAGTTAAAGTAATTATAAATAATGGTTTAAAAAATCAACTTAAGATTGATATTTATATACATATTTTTTATTTTGCAAAATGTAAGTGCTTATATAATTTCCAATATTGACTTGTATGATTATACATGATGTATCAAAGCTTTACTCGTAGATTTAAAAAATTTCTCTTGTAAATTTTTTGTTATTTTATTTCCCCATGTTGGCAGGTATGCAAAAAAAATTACTTCTGTATTTTCAATCAAATAAAAAAAAGTGTTCAAACAAATTCTTGTTTAGATATCACTGGCCTTGTTTTCTCCTAGAGTTCTAGAATTGTAGGGCCCTGGTGTGGCATTAATTGCCCCCCCCCCCCCCCCTGNGCCTGAGATTTAATTATGTTGAATCTAAAAAAAAATAAAATTTGCTTAATTTAGAACACATTTCAAGTGTTTAGATAATTTTATTAATTTGTGTAACTTAATATTTAATACATATTTAGTTTAATTTATGAACAATAAACATAATTTGATTTAATATGGAGTTATTTAGGATAATTTTTTATTGCTGGCATCTTATTCTTGCTGATTATTCATTCAAATTAGGCATTTTGTTATTTGTTCCTTCGATGAAAAATTGCTTCAAAAAATTATGCCTTGTTTGTAAACGGTGCAAAGTTTTTAGTCGTTCAGATTAAAATAAAATAATTTTGTCTTAATATTCATGTTGCACTTTCTTATCCTCTGTGCATGCAAATGAGGATTTTAAAATAATTTAAAGAATCAAGAGATTTAGATTTTTGATTCTACATCTAATCAATGATGCTAGTAAAAATTCTATAATTCAAACTTCGGGACTGTCATTTATTGCAAGCATGAGTCAGTCATATATCTTTACTCTTAGAATTCATTGTTTAAAATATTTTGTGTATTTAGACGTATGCAAAAGAAACTTAACAATTTTATGCTATCAAATTTAAGGTATCATATGCCAGTATACTTCATGGTAGAATCGCAGCGACATTGTCGCAGAACGTTACAGAGCTCTTGCAAAAAGATTTTTCTTTTGAAAAGTTAAAAAAAAAAACAACATTTTTTTTTTAGTTCTTTTCTACAAAAATTTACACATATTTGTAACATGCATGAAGATAATCACTTTTTGACACATTAAATTTGCGCCAATAGTATCATAAATTGATGTAATGTTTCAATTAAATTTTCGGCAGTTATTGATATTGATTTTCACATGGTTTTTAACTATCCCGATATACAGTCGGACTTCTATTTAACGAACTTCCATTTTACGAATTTCTCTATTTTGCGAATTTTTTCGAGGAACCAAGAACATTTTGGAAATTTCTTCGTTAAATAACTTCTAAATAGCGAAGTGAATTTTCTATTTAACGAATTTTTTTTTTGGGATCTACTTTCCCCATTTCCCAAAATATTTGAGAAAATTATTAACTAGTTAACGCATTTTATGGGGGAAATAACCTTGAACTGATTTTCGCATCCCCTTAACTTTTAGAGAAAGCAGTAAAATTCCTTTCCCTTTTTGTTTGTATGTCATACAGGAAATGCAATCCCACTAGAAAAGGGGGGAAAGGGTCAAATTCCTTGAATAGGAAATGAGCAGAGAAGATAAAAGGAATGGGTCATCAAAGTGTGTGGTCCCTGGTCCCTTATTGACATGTCCTATTATCTCCACCCCCACTGTTCACTTCCTTTCTAGAAAAACTTTCAACTTTCTCGTTGTTCACTCGGTAGAGCTCCTGTTTTAAGATTGCTGATCAGAGTGCTGCTTGTTGCTTTTCTTACGGCTGCAAAATGTCGAAGCGAAAGTGCCTGACTATTAAAGAAAAAAATTACAAGATAAAGGTGCATCAATTGCAATTTTAATTAGTATCCATGAATTTAAAACCTATTCTACGTTGTGTAAGTATTTCAAAAGAAGATTTTCTATTTAACCAATTTTCCATATAACGAACTTTTTTTCGGGATTTAGCGACTTCGTTAAATAGAGGTCCGACTGTATTTAAAACAATATGGAAAATTCGAGTCGTGCATTTCAGTATTTTCTTTCTAAGGCAATGATTATATTGAGAATTTGGCAGTTATTGCTATTGATTTCTCCCTAGTTTTTAAATCTGATATTTTTTAATACAATATTATTTATTACAACAACCTAATCTCGAAACGAAATATGCATTTGAGTAATCATTTTTTGAGGATTCCGATTAACGTGATTTCGTCGTTGATCTTTTTTTTTGGCGATGAATTTCATAATTTTTAATTGATGATTTTCGCGTTTTTTCACCCTACAAAATGCGAGAATATCACTCATAATATTAGAATAAAAAATTATTATATGTTCAATTAAAAAAAAATTATAATAGTTTTTTTTTGTAAACTCAGCGCTTTTGTTATTTTAAATTAGTTACATATTTGTTTGTTATTATTATAAGTATCTTGCAGAAAGATCTTAGTGCTAGAGAGTTTTGTTGCTGATAGCTCGAAAAAATTCTGCCACTGGGCCAATATATATATTTTAAGCAAATGAGGTAACAAATCTTATAGTGTGCAATTCCGTAGTTTCACAATTTCCTTGACTTGTTTCATTCTTCTGGGTTTTAAAACTGATCGATTGCCATCAACAATACAGTAATCATATTATGGGATTTATTAATGATATGAGGGATCATCCACTAAATTACTTTGGTATAAGAATGTTAAGCAGTATATTCACTGTGTTTTTGTTTCCATATTGTTGAAACCCTAATGTAAAATAATTTAATTCAGAAAGGTTTGAACACAAATGCAAATTTTCATTAAACATTTGTGTGAGAGAATATCAAATTATTGGTAATGCAACTGAACTATAAAATTTTTATATATATAATCTCAAATTATGGAGAGTTGTTCAGAATTAGGCATTAATAAAATTATTATACTGGAAATTGTTAAAATCTTTCTGTTCTAAGCAAAGTAATTCTTAAATTAAGAATATTATATGTATACTTTATTGTACCTTTGAAACAAAATTTGCCTTTTTTATTCTTAAGTAGAGCAAATTGTACTTCTTTTTTTAGCTTATGGTATGCTTTTTTGCTTCTATCGATATTCTGTTCCAAAAAAATGTCCTGATTTTTGTTCTTTTATTTTTTACAAAATACATTGTCCTGAATTTTTCTTCAGAACTTTTCAAGGACCTTTACTTTTTTTGGAAACTAGAATTTACATTCTTGCTTTTTGGCTTCGGAAGGAACGAAGATATAAATAATATTATATATTAATATTTATTAATATCATATAATCTTTTTGTAATATATATATATATATTCTCTTTGATAGAAATTTGATTTTTATTCTTCATTTCTTTTTGAATTACATCATAACTTTTTCAACAGGTTATGACATGTCTACCTTTGTACGAAGATATGCTAAGTATTTAAATGTTAAAGCTTCTACATACAGAGTAATGGGTGCTGACTTTTGCAAAATGAAAAGAGGGTATGAAAATTTTACTAAAACTTATCCCTTTAAGAAATAAAAAAACCTTATTGCAACTCTTACTTTTTATATAGCGATTGATTTTCTCATACTTAAATAAAATATTTATTTTTGTAAATTTTTTATCTATTATTTATATATTTTTTATATAATTTGAACTTTTTTATAGGAAAGAAGAAGGTGTGCTAAGAAATATGACAACAGAATCTGTAAGTGCAGTCCTAAAAATTTGTAAATTATTTATTATTATTATTTTACGTGTATTGGAATTGAATGTTTTTAAGATTTTAGACAAGTTCAGGACTGATTACAAGTTCAGGACTAATTAAGTTCAGGTAGTAAGATAAAGCAATTTTCACATGCCCTGTCAGGCATCTTAGTTAACAGAGCACATACTCAAAAGAAATTAGAGATCAATCATTTTTAAGGGTAATAGGAATTTCTTAGAAAGATTAAAAGTTAATATCATTTTTAAATGTGTAATTGTCTACAAGAAATAAAAAATTCGTAACTTTTAAAAACATAATGAATATCTTTGTCATCCATTAAAATAAATGTGCATGTAATGTTTTAATTTAGTTAAAACAAAGCATGTTTAAATATTAGCATATTTGCATTATTTATTTTTTTAATGGGCTTTTTTGTCCAATATCTAATTTATATTAAATAATCAAATTAAATCAAATCAGCTGAAAAATTTAAAAAAGACCTCTAATCATTTTAATAAATCATTTCATGTATAAAAAAGGCATTTTGATGCATTTTTGTTGGGGAAAATTTAAAGTTTAAAAAAAGTCCCTGTTTCTCTATTTATTTTGCTTTACCTGACTATACCTAAATATTTTACTTTTTGGTGTAAACAGTTTTAGATTTTTTTTTTTAAATAATGAATTGCAAATAATGTTTACTTTTTTTTCATATTTGTTGTCTTGACTCAATAAAATACATGTTGTATATTTTGAATTTGTCTTACAAATGTATGTGAATTTAGGCGTAACAAAATGCATCCTATTTCTTGATTTTTTTTTTTTTTTTTTCAAGATGCATTTGTGATTATATAGATAGTGAAATTATAGCTTTTTTCCCTGGCAGTATAGTATATAAAAATTACATATTTTGAAACTTATTAATACCATGAATTAAAGAAGATATATTTTGTTCTAATGTTGCTAATTTATATCTTATGATTCTTTATGTGCAATGAATATAATATTTTACTGAATTGAGGCGGATTAAATATTGATGAGTATATGAAATTGATTAAATATTTTGTGGGTAGAAATCATTGTATATCATATCTGCGATTCCTGTTAAAATTTTGTTTACAACTTGTCTGACAGCTTGTTCTTATAGGTCTCTTTTCTGATAGAAAAGAGTTTCTCTATGTTAACTTACAGAGAATTATAAAAGTTCAATTTTTTTTAAATTTTTTAGCTAAATAAATAGTAATTTAGAACATTTATTGGTTTTATTTTATTCATTAAAATGTTTAAAAGTATTTTAAACTTAGTTACCAAATTTAAAAGTTGTAAATATTAGTAATTTTTTTTTTTAAATTCATGTAATAGGTTTCGTATAATATTCGTATAATAAGTTTCGGTATTAAAGTTTATAACTTATCAACTACATTACTGATACATAGTTCAATGAATAATATTTTTAAAAAAGCAAAAAATATTCCAAAATATTAGTATTTACTTAATAAGTAAACTAATTACGTTCATATGTAAGTTAATAAAGTTTGTAAGTTGATGAACAGGACTATATTTTGAACAATATAAACAAATTTTCTGTAAGCAGACAAATAATTTAAGAAATAGCTTCATAGAATGCAATTTTAAAAGAAATTTTAGTATAATTTATTTAATTTTTTTAACTATTTGGTGTTGTCATTATTGTAATTTTCCCTGAACAAACTAATCTTCCCATGAAAAAGTGCCTGACCTTTTGGAACCAGTTATGCCACATTTGACAGGGTTCGTAGTGTTTTTAAAAAGCGCTAAAAGATACTTATTGTTTCTTAAAAGCCGCTAATGGTGCTTTTTTATTGGATGTTTTAAAAGGTGCTTAATTTTCCCTTTTCGAAAATGAGAATTTTTTTTCTTTACCCTGTTGATTTTTGAAGCGTATTATGCAAAAGCCTGGTTTTCACATTGTTCTATTCAACCTTTTCAGAAATCATTCAAGCGCAATGCATTTCGGCGTACCGTAGTATATGAAAGCACCAATCATTTTACATGTTTGATGCAATGCTTACGGGTCCGCATGTGTATATACTGAGCTGCATTCAGTGAGAATTATTCTTGCACTATCATGAGCAACTCCGTTACATTTTACAATAGATCTCAATTTCTAACTTCATTTTCCTCCCTCTGAAATCCAACTGAATATTTCTCTTATCTTTTTATTCTGACTAATGTAATCAAGAAAAATAGATCTCTGTTAGAAACTAGTTATTTTGTCATGATCATGTAAAGTCTTTGAAAATTATTTTGTATTTTGTTAATGTATATAGTGCTTAAAAATATTTTTTAAGTGCTTAAAAGGTGCTTATTTTTTGTTGAAAGATTTGGCTATGCATCCTGTTTGAGCTTTATATTGTTAAACACAGTTTATTATCTGATTTAAAATTAAAACACTTAATTTCATAGTATCATTCCTGATTTGTTAAATTTGTATGTTTGGAGTATATTATTTTGATATTTTTCTTATTTTCAGCTCCTAAAAACACTTCCTGTACTTCATGAGCAGTTAGATGCCTTGCTTGATTTTGATGTAAGTAGTAACTTAATTTTTATGTATTTCGTTACCTTTCTTTGTCTGATAATTGTCAAGTGCAGTAATTTTTATTTTTCAAAAAGGCATGAATTTTTCCATTTCTAAACAATGTGTATACTATTTTCATTTAACGGTTACAGTGGCAACTGTGAACCTGAATGGGATACATTTTTTCTGGAAAATCTAAATCTGCAACAAGAAAAATGGGTTTTTTTATTTAAAATATTTATTTATTTATTATAAAGTTACCTTTCCCCACTCCTGGGAGATCAAGTTGAGTTTCATTGAATGCATCTTTTATAAATATTTCTCTCGTGTATTTTTAAATTTTTGATTTGATGATATTCATACTTTTTTGACACCCTATATTTACATATAATAATCTTATATTTGTATAAAATATTATTTACTTGTTAATTAGTGTAAGTTGACCTTTTTTTTAATTCCTATTATTAGTTCCCACTCTCCCTATTATCTTGTTCAAATTTTCAATCGTTAATAAAATACTTATTATTCATCCACTCAAATTCAAATACACTTGTAGTGGATGAAACTTGACATTAATACAGTTTTTTTTTTCAAATCTTAATGCATTCATTAAATTTAATTCATTAATGTTAGTTTCATATGGGTGAAAAAAATTTTAATTATTTAATAAAAAGTAGCTAAAATAAAAATTTTCTTTGTTGACCTTTTAAAAACTTTGTATACACTTTTAAAAACTAGTCTATAGGTCTAACCCTTAGCTAATACTTATTGAAAGTAAAATTTTCATTTTAAAAAGATAAAAAATTGAAGTGTGGGACCATATATCATGCTTGGTAGGGAGAGAGGAAATTCAAAAATTGTGGTTATGGCAAAACAAAGGGGATACTAAGAAGAAATATCTTTATTAGACATACAGTTGAACTTCTATTTAACAAATTCCCAGTTTGCAAATTTCTCTGTTTTGGGATTATTATTATTTTTTTTTTTTTTTTTTGAGGAACCAGAAATATTTTGGAAATTTCTTTGTAAAATAACTTCCAAATTGCCAAGTGAATTTTCTGTTTAACGAACTCTTCTTTGAGATCCACTATCCCTATTTCCCAGAATATTTCAAACTAGTTAATGCGTTTTATGTGGGAAATGACCTTGAATTAATTTTTACAGCCACTTAACTTTTAGAGAAGGCAGTGATATCCCTTTTTATTTGAATTTCATACAGCAATTCACGCCAAAATTCACTTTACGAAAGCATAACATAAATTTCTAAAGCATGGGAGCTCTGTTACAGATCGTACTATTCTAATCAAAGAATGAAACTAATTTACAAATTCAGAAAGAAAAAAAAAGTAAGTAGCATTTAAAATAATAAATCAAAATAGCAAAGCGCTTACAACAGCTATAAATCCAAATTTGTTTCATTTTAAGTTATAAAGTCAGAAAAACAATTCTTGCAGAAAACAGCAAAAATTATAAAAATTTAAGATATGTGTGTTAGCAGGACAGCACTTCATCAGGCGACGCACTGCCTGCTAATATACAGGAGCCTCTCTGTTGTCAGTGGTGAAAGCAAAAACTGATAGTGCCCCTAGGCCCTATAATGGAAAATTAAATAAGAAAATGAAATTAGAAACATTTAAATGTAAATGCAAAGAAAAATGCATGACAAACAATCACGAAGTAAGTCTTAATGACTTAAAAGTACACAAACTAAGACGTAATAAAGAGACACCCACAAATAAGAAATATAAATAAAGATAAAATAACAGTTAGAATGGCCAAATCAAAATAAAATATAAATTGTATAAAAGTAGAATAGTAAATAAAACAAAAGTAGAATGAAGTAATGAAGTAAATGAAGTTTTTTTAATGTATAATTCGTTGCTGTCCGCTCCCTTTTGTTACAGGTTTAAAAATTGTTTATCTAGTTGCTTCTATAACAAAGTCTAAGGCTCACATTGAAAGTTATTTATATTTCTATATGTGTTCAGCTTTAACATTCTTATTTATTCCAAATTCACAAAAAAGAAAAAACATTTTTTTAATAATTACTTTTTTTATCAGTGTAACCCAGATGATTTAAGCAATGGGGTTATGAATTCCTGTTTTATGCTGCTTTATAGAGATCTGATTCAGTTGTTTGCTGCATACAATGATGGAATTATCAATTTGTTTGGTATGTATTGATTACAATTTTTTCCATCTTTAATTTAGAAATGAGAACTTTAAATTTCCGTGCTAAATTTAAGAAATTTTTGAGCTCTCAAAATATTACAAACTATTAAATGTTTTTCATTTTCTTGGACCATAAGGAAAGTCTGAATAGTTTATCTTAAATCAAATGTAAGTTTACCAAATAAAACAATTTGTTAAGAAAAGCAATTTGAATAATTCATATGATATGGCAACTCCCGAATGTGTACAGATGAGAATATTTCAAATTTTAATGAATCCTGCAACCTTAAGCTATATTAGTTAAGCTTTTTTCTTTAAAAAAAAATGAGCAAATAATATATAATTTATGCATTTAAAATTAAATATAAGGCATTATTAAAATTTTTTGTGTGTGTGTGTAATTTTTCAAATGAGTGCATTAAGATTGGTTATAAATTACGTTACAAGTAATACTTTGTATTCTTTCCTTAGAAAAGTACTTCACCATGAATAAAAAGCATTGTAAAGAGGCCTTAGACATATACAAGAAATTTATTATAGCCATGGACAAGGTGTCAGACTTTTTGAAAGTAGCTGAAGTAATAAAATTTTCATAATAAAATATTTTACTACATTATTAAGTTGCCATCTGTAACACACAATTTGTTTTCACCTTTAAGTGTAAAATTGTTCTACAGCATTACCTTGAATGCATCAACCCTGGTTCATTTCTGTCTACTAGTTGATTTGCTTTTAAAATGTACCTGCTAATATTTTGTTTGTACTGATTTGATTATTGTACTCATATGCAACAAATTTACTTTTAAATATACCTAATATTGTAAGCCCTGCCATCTACAACTGTGTATTACACACTTATAGGTTCACAATTGAGGGGTTTATTGCACACTTTTTGAAAAGGGGATATTTTTACTTCAAACTTACCCTTAATATTTTTTCCAGATAAGTGTTTCATGAACTTTCTAGTTGAATAACAGTTCAAAGTACATGTAAATTGTGCTGTTTTACATGAAAAATGCCTTTAAAAACTGCCCACCTGAACAGATTGAATATGTGGGTTATCATTATCAGAAAACACGCTAAGCATTTGCTGCCTCTCCAAATTCAATAAAATTGTTAATTCAATGGAAGAAAATCATGTTTTGGCGAAAGTATTCACGAACGATTTTTCTATCAAAAAGAAAAATTAATATTCTCCTTGATCTTTGAAATGATATCAATACGAATTTTTCTACAACAAATCATGTTTATTTTAATCGATAATAGTAATTTACCTTAATTATGTAAAATATCTAATTAAAACTAAGTGCAGATAACATAAACAATAAGAAGGAGGAAAAAATTAAAATACAGATTACGTTCATTGCTGGATCATGCGATATAGTGAGGTAAAACTTGCTCCTATGACAGAGACTTTTAAAATTTGGCTTACACTTTTTTATTTTTGGTTAATTTGCTGGCTAGTAATTTCAAGTCCTTAACTCGGGCCCTGAATCCCTAAAAGTCCTAAAGCCCTTGAGTTGTATTTTCAATGCATATCTGTATGAAAAACCTGCTGCAGTGCTTTTAGTGTTTTGTTCTTTATGCACTAAAATTACCTTCTCAATGTATGTACTGGTGTCCTGCTGTCTTCGTCAGCATTATTTTGAGTACTTTACTATTGCATGCTTACTTTTGCCTTTTAAATATTCCTATGTGCTACTCTTGTCTTTAAACCATTATAAACTTTTCAGTCATTGTATTTGTGGCTTTTTTGTGTCATGCTCATCCTATCATTGGACGTAACCTTGGGATATAACAGTGTAGTTAAATTGCAATCATTCTTAATGTTACTCCCTTCATACGCTGAAGATTGTTAGTAGTTTTTTTTTTTCAATTTCATTGATATCTTTAAGAAGCAAACAACTTTTGTTCAAGTATCGTAGTAGGAGAGGATATTTTACACCTTAAATTGCAATGGTTTCATAAAAAGTACCATTTTTATTTAAATATTTTTATACTATTTTAAATATTATTCCTTGTAAAGTTTGCAATTTTTGAAAAAAGTAATGTTTTTACACATTTGTAATGTTTTAAAAGTTATGTTTTTACGCAATTCAGTAGTTTCCAGAAGTCCAGAGTCCTGAAGTTTCAAGAAATCATCATTCACATTTATGTATAAAATTTCTTGTATATTTTATTTAGAAATATTAGAACTATAATTTATACTTGGCATCGCTTTCATTTGTAAGTATTTTTTCTGTTAGAATAATAAATATGGTTAAAGATAAAAGTAAACTTATACATAATTATTCATTTAAATTATGCTGTATATAATTTATTGAGAATTTCATATTTTGAAAATATGAATGATTTAAATTTATAAAGACATAAATTTTTAGAAATGAGTCATTAATGATTTTACTCAAAAAAATTTCAGGATTTTAGAGTTGGGCTCACAAAATCACGCCTGGATATATAATGTAGGAAAAATATTTATAGACTTTGGCAAGTTTATAAATATTTTCCCCATTAGCTTCCCCTACTAACTAACTTTGTAAATAATATATTAAGTATGTAAATAAATAAATTTATAAACATTATACTTTTAAATGTAAGGGACAAATCAATATGATCCATTTTGCCTATGGAAAAAATGAAGTTAGTATCAATAGGTACAAAAGCTGAAATGATTGCTACTCCTAAGAACTGAGATTTTTTTCCCTATAAAAGGTTATACCAATTCAGTCCTATGCATGTTGTGATATAGTAATTTTTATTGTGAATGTCCTTCTTTTAGCATCCCTGTTTCATTCTATTTTTGCATGCTTTGTAGAAATAATCTCTTCTTCTTCCTTCTGTAGTCGCATGAAGATGCTCATACTTTATGTGTAGATTGGAAAACTCTCCTGGTTAGTACATTTTATTTTTGAAGAGCCTTCTACATTGTCAGAACAGAACAAAAGAACAATTGCAAGATTTTTATTATTTATTGACCTATCCATAACATCAGCAGACTCACAAAAACTTAAGAGTATTTGCTAAATGAACTTCAATTTAAATGTTAGTTGGTCATCACTGTCCCTACTTCAAAATGCTGCTCTAAAAATAAATAAAGAAGAAACTGTGGTTTCTTTACCACACAGCTGTAATGATAGAATTGGGTGACATCACCGATCACGAAAATTATCTCATTTCATTTATAATATTAGTGTTCAGAAATAAAGTTGTCTCGCAGTGGACTGATCGTAAAAACATGATTCCCGGTAGAACACCGAAGTCAAGCATCACTGGCTGTGGTCAGTAAGCGGATGGGTGACCACTTTGATCAAGGGTGTGCGGTATCAGTCCTTGTTAGACTGCCTGGCTACCAAAGCAGAAGATCAAAGTTGCGATGGCATGCCTTTGGATCATCCTCAGGGATGTTTCTCAGACCATTGATCTTAAGCCCATTTTCTTAAGTCTTTCGACCAAGGTGAAAAATGAAAGGATAAAATTTTTTCTTCATTTTTATACCCAATCTAAAGATTTTGTATTTTCACTATGTAAATTAATAATTTTTTTAATTGCATAATAGATTTTTTTATTTATGAAAAATAACTAACATTTTAAAGACATTTTTTAATTTATTACAATATTGTTTTTTTAAAACAGTCATTGAGCTATAATTACATAGCCTTGTAATTTTATACCCAATCCAGAGTATTGCTAGAAATTTGCCTTCGTAAAGGACTTTTTGATGGAACTAACCTGCGTTTACTACTCTCGGGTAGGAAAACTACTCTCGGGTAGCCAGACCATAAGTGAACTCTAACCCATGATCTGTTTACCACTGAGAATGTTTTATGTCAGCTCTTTGGTTGTTGCACCGTGTGCAAAATGCCTATTGACCGGCCATCACTGGCCTGGTTCACCTTATTGGGAGGCGAACACCCTATCCCTTGAGCCACCACAGCTCTTTAAAAAAAAATTTATAACTCGTTGAACAGCAGACTCAATTTTTTGGAATTACAACTATTAATGTTCAACTCCATAGCCCAAATCCAAAAGGACAAGTGAACTCCTTGATCAAATACTTAGAGAAATTTTGCCTTCTTTGAGAACAAGTACAGTATTATTTTATTTTATAACTGCCGTTGAGCAGCCCACCTAATTTTGGGTTTAGAACTAGTAATGTTCAACTCCGTAGCCTTATAATTTTGAACCAATCCAGAAGACATTAAAATCCTGGATCAGCTCCCCCAGAGGTATGACTAGTTATGGAGACATGGAGGACTTTGTGACCTGACAGATTTAACATGCGCCTGTCACCATTTACCGCACAAGTAGTCTTTCGCTAGCGGGGATCGAACCCTCAACCTAATTCAGTGCTCAACCAGCCACAAAGCATATACTTGTTTGTCTTTCAGAAATAGTGAAGCCAGTAGTTGAAAAATATTTAATAATGCTACTTCTGTGTTAATTATTAAAAAAATTTTATTAAGTATTATATTTATATTGAATTATGTTTTCTTTATTTTAATTTCTCAAAGTGCTGTCTTTTTAAATCTTATTTCCAATTTTTCTGTTTTCGCAAAATTTTGATGGAATTTTTAAATGTTTATTTTACAGAGTGTTGGCATTGATAAGGGCAGTATACCTGATCTAACCAAGGTAAGTCATAATGCTATGATTTAAATCAATTGAACTTGAACTCTAAAATGTTCCTAAAATGAAATTTAAGTAGCAAAATCCGCTTTAAACACACGGGCAGTAATGCTTTCTAAATTGCAATATTTTACTATAAGTTTTCTTTACTTTTTTCTTATTTTATTTTAATTGTCGTTCAACAGCCGGTCCCAATTTTGTGTTTAAGACTACCTATGTTAAACTCCTTATTTATCCTTGCAATTTTGAACCCAATCCAGAAGACAAATGAATTCCTAGATCAGTTATTGGGAGAAATTCGCCTCTGTGGAGGACTTTTGATGGAACTAACCCGCATTTGTGTTACATGGTGAGGAAACCACAGAAACCTCCCGTGGTTAGCCTAATGGCAAGGGGACTTTAACCCATGATCCGTCTACCATCCAGGATATTTAACGTCATCGCTGTGTTTGGCATGAGCCGAAATGCAGAATTAGAATTCCAACCATCGCTATGTGGGATTCGAACCCGGCTAACCTCTTTGGGAAACAAGCGCTCTATCCCCTGAGCCACAACAAGTAATCGTTTTATATATGTTTATTTAGTTTTGTCCTTGTCATTTTTAAAATACTGTTTATTTTCAATAGCAAGTAAACTTATTTCATAATTTTTGTTTTATGCATTTGAATGAGCAAAACTGAAAATTAATTATCCAATTCATTTCATCAGTTACAGAAAGGAATTTTGATATAATCAGATTCGAAAAAATCAGGGAATTTTATTTTTATGAATGTTTGAGCCCACCCTATGATTAATAGTTAAATTTAAACTATACTATGCATTACAACAATTTACTTTGTTTTTAGGCTCCGTGTACTTTGCTAGAAGAAATGGAAAATCACCTTACATATTTGGAAGGAAAAAAAAGTCAAACAGTTGCCAAGTAACTACATATTTGTTTGAACGTATAATACTAAATTTGTCTTTTTTTTATTATTATATACAATTAGGTGTCAGTCATAAAAAATCTTTGATACTGTATTAGTCTCTAAACTTCACTTTATAATTGAATATTAGTGAAAATTCATTGAAATTCAATTTTAATTTTTAATCTTATTATAATTAAATTGCTATACAAAATATATCTTAAATACCTGAAAGTTTTCTTGAAGATATATATATTATTCTATTTTTATAATATGTATATCCCGATGAATTCTTTTTGTATAGTAAGATTCATGTTAAAATAATGGTTTACTTTTTAATAAAAATTTTTTGAGAAATATGCTACTGCTTTCAATATTTATGTAACTAATAAACGACTAAAAAAAACTTACCCATAAATGATCATATTGTAAAACTCATTGGACTCAGAGTATGTTCAGAAGAGGTTTTTGAAAAATCTTATGTTGTAAACTGTTACATTAATTGAGCAGTGAGTTATTGCAGTCCAGGAATCGTGCTCTAAATGACTTACTATAACTAAATGAAATAGTTAGACAAAAGCATTCAAAGAAATATTAGTTTTGTCACTTCCTCTTTTGCCCCACACGAAAATTTGTTGCTCTCTTTATTCTATTATATATTGTTTTTAAAAACCATACTTACATTCAAATCAAATTCTAAAAATTTACGAAAAACAAACTCATGGAGTGTTCTACTTCAAGGAATTTAAAAAAGCTTTTTTAAATGTAAACTACTAGTTGTGTCCATTTTGAAAAAGGTCTCTATTAATTTTTATTCATAAAAGATTGTCAGCAATTAAAAGTAAAAAAATTATCTCTAGTGTGAGTAGTCTGTATAATGTGAAATTTCGCTGTATTTTGTTAAGCTGATCATTAAAATTTATTACAATACCACCCTTTATTTTACAGAGTGCGTAGCGTTTTTTAAAGGTGCTAATTTTTGATTTATGTTTTTAAAAGCCCTTAAAGGTGCTCTTTTTAATCGGGGTTTGTAAAAAGTGCTTAATTTTTTATGTTTTATAAAGAGATCTTCTTTTTTCTTTGCTGTATCGATTATCGTTCTAAAATACAAAAAATGTACGATTTTCACAATTTTTTCTGCATTGTTTATCAGAAACTAGTTACTTTATCATGATTATGTAAAGTTTTTAACTTTTATTGATTTTTAATTTTTGATGATTTTGAATTTTTTTTAGTTTATAAATTAAGAACTTTAAGCAATAGAAAAAAATAATTTTTATTACTGCACAGATCCTAATTATGATTTTTTTCTTTTTTTGGAAAGTGATTAAAAATATTTTTTGAGCGCTTAAAAGGTGCTTATTTTTTGTTGAAAAATCTGGCTACATCATTTATGTAGTTTCTCCCCCTACATCATTTTTTTTATTATTTATGATTTTAAAAAAGTGTACTCTTTAAATTATAAATATTATATTATTAGTTCATAAGCTTTTATTATTTACACAAAGAAAAAATATTACATAGTTTAAGAAATTTCATTAACCTTTTAGGACAAATTCAGTTCAGTGTGCAGTGTCTGCTCTGAGCTCTACTAGTTCTGCTTTAGCAAACAGTGCACATGAAATCTCTCACGAGCTGAATGGCCTGACAGTGGATGAGAGTATGAGGAGGGCTGTTGAAGAAGAAGCTGCTATCATGAATCAATTGAAGGTTGTATAATCACTTGTAAAAGTTGCATGAATCTCGCTGCATTTCATATTTTGAGCATTCGGGAATGCCTATTAATGATCATTAAAATCGTCTCAAAGGACTGCAGACTTATTTATGCATCTTGCATGACTCTTGCCTCACTTCATTGCCAGGATTCTCACTCCACAGAGAAAACCGGGAAAATCAGGGAATTTAAAAATCACCTAAAATAACAGGGAATTTTGTTTCTTATTTTCATCTTTTAAAAAATAGTGACCACTCTTAAGGATATTTCAACTATACTAAACTGTTTAATTTACTGCAGCATTATTGAAGTATCTTCAGCTGTTTCTTTTTGTCAATTTCTCCTGCAAATTCAAACTCTCCCTATATCTCGTTCAAATTTTCAATCATTTATAAAATTCTTTTTATTTATCCACTCAAGTTCAGATACATTTTTTTAAGCGTGTAGTGCAGGGGTGGCGAACCTTTATACACCAACGTGCGAATGCTTCTAAAAAAAATTTTAATGAGGTCATAGACGTGCCGTCAAATAATTTTGACTTCGTGATTATTGGGAAAATAATAATACTAAATACTATCAACTCAAAACTCTTTATTTACATTGAAAAAAAATGCATTTTTCCATGTCTTAAAACACCATAAAGTAACATCAGTCTGACTTCTGTTGTTGCAGATTAGATGACAAATAACTTAATGACAAATAACTTATATTAGGTTGTAAGGTGTTAGTTTAAGCAGGACTGTTATTTATTTTTTTTTGCTAGTTATTTATTGTTAGCTTGTTTTTTATGGTTATTAATTGTTTATTTAGCATTAATAGTTAATTTTCTTATTAATAATTGTTTATTATTTTGTTTATTTTTTTTAATTTTAATTTAGATGTTACATATGCTTCATAGTGTAATAACATTTATGTAATAACAATTGTGATCGGCGGCATGCCCAAAATATTGTGTCTCGTGCCATTGGTTCGCCATCCCTGGTGTAGTGGATGACACTCAAAGTTAATGCAGTTTTTTTTCAAATATTAATTCATAAGTTAAATAGGACATGAGCAAAAAACGAATTGGAGTTTTCTAATTGGTTAAGCATTAGTCATTGTTTTAAATTTTACTATAAGTGATTTCAGTTTTTTACCTATTTTAAAAAAAAAAATTAAATCAGTGATAATTTCTAACTTATAGCTCTATTTGAACAAAAAAATAGTTTATTGAGTACATTTAAATGTTTAATTATTTTATATTCACTGTGTCAGATCAATTCAATAAATAACATTACCTGGTAGCAAGTGTGGTCCACATCACCAAATTTATACTTTAATAGTTGTCCGATACCATGCGCCTTTTTTTCTCTTCCAATTCCTACTTATTAGTTCATACTCTCCCTATATCTTAGTCAAATTTTCAATCGTTAATAAAATACTTTTTATTCGTCCACTCAAATTCAAATACATTTTTTTAAACTTGTAGTGAAAGACACTTGATGTGAATGCAGTTTTTTCAAATATTTATTTATTAATTAAATTTAATTCATTAATTTTAGTTTTCGTGGGTGAAAAAATTTTAATTATATAATAAAAAGTAACTAAAATAAAAATTTTCTTCTTCTGATCTAAGTAGGAATTGACTTTATAAAAATTTTTTCTATAACTTGTTTAGGTATGTTCAGCTGTTCCCTTTCTTTCTCTAAGTTTTCTAATCAATTAAAAGTGGTATAGTTAGCCCAATATAGCTTGCTCAAGAGCACAGTTACTATGTTTCCTCTTACTATCTTGCGTATAATATGTTCAGAGAAAATACAAAGAATTTTTTTTCCCTGATTTGAGAGGCAACTCTAATTGTATTTACATCATTTCAGAACACCCATTAGAATCATTAAAATTGTCTCATTGAATAACTCATAATAAAACAATACAGATAACTTTCTCCTATAACGATGAATACTGGATCATTTAAGTCTTTTGCTTGAATTTCACTGCACGTTATTGTTTTTTAAAGCTTTTATGGTTCTCAGTTACAATCATCAAAATTGAATAACTATCAATAAAATAATGCTGGTAATCCCTCATGAGAAATGGAATACACAATCATTTATGTATGCTGCTTGACTTTTCCCTTATCATGATTGGGTTTTTATCAATTTTTTTAATACAGTAAAGAAATATTGCATTTATCATCAAAACTCATTTACACATAAATTAACACTCCTATATGAGTGTTAACATTTGCAATATAATATTGCGACCCAAATGAATGCTATTTTTTCAATGAAACTATATCATGCTTTATATAATCTTTGATTACACACTTAGACAGCTCTAACACTCAAAGAGATTATATAAATTTATTTTGGAATTTCCTTTACCTCACAAGAAATCTTCTCCTTTATATGTGGTAGTTTTTTTTATAGTTATTTTATAAATATTTTTACAAACTTTCTATCCATTAATGCTTTTTTCTAATCAGTGTTGGTGTAAATTATCAGACATTTCTTATTACCATATTTCAGATTGGTTAAAAAAAAGTTTTTTAAAATGGGATTCATATGAAAAATCAAATTGACTTAGAGTAAATAATTACAGATACTTAAAAAGTCAGCTCAATTTTTCTTATCGGAAAACTAAAATTTGAATAATTGAATTTTCCATTGAAAAATGCCACTTATAGTTATTGAGAATCTGACTGTTGAGAAGATAAAAACAGTAATAAATGATTTGTGTTATTATACTACTACTGCTCTATCCTTTTTCTTAAATTTATGGAATGAAAATTTCTGTATTTATCTTGTAAAATTCTCAATTAAAAAAAGCAGGTTAAAGTTATACATGATGCATAGCATTTTTAAAAAGTGCTTAAAGGTACTTATTTTCGATTTTTAAATGCCTTTTAAGGTGCTTTTAAAAAGTGATTAATTTTCCCTTTTCCAAATGAGATTTTTTTTCTTCACCGTGTCGATTTTCACCACGTATTATGTAAAAGTGTGGTTTTCACATTGTTCTATTCTACATTTTTACGATTCATTCAACCAATGCATTTCGGCGTACCTTCAGTCCGTAGCGTATGAAAGCGCCAATCATTTTACATGTTTGTTGGAATACTTGCGAATCCGCATGTGCGTCAACTGAGGTGGGTTCAGTGAGATTATTGCACTCTCATGTGCAGCTCTGCTGCAATTTGCAAGATATTCTCAATTTCAGGCTTCATTTTCCACCCTCTGATATTGAACCAAAAAATCTTTTGATTATTTTATCATATGAAGTCCTTGAAAATTATTTTGCCTTTTGTTAAAGAATAGAGTGATTAAAAATATTTTTTGAGTGCTTAAAAAGTACTTAAAAGGTGCTTATTTTTTGTTGAAAGATTTGGCTATGCACCCTGTTATAGTTTTTAACTTAACAAAACTTAGTATTCATGCATTTTATCTTATTTGAATTTTTATATATTATTTTACTTGCTCTGCATATTTATAAATTACATTACAATACTGTTATGTAGGTCTATAGTAAATATTCAACTTTGATGAATCAATAAATAAAAGCACTGAGCTGTTATTGTGTAGATTCAGGATCGGATCTTCTGTCTCAGATTGTGCTACAATCATACTACACTTTGCTCCATGTTTTTACTAACGGCTGGCATTGAACTTCTTATTTTTTACCTCGAAAGATGCTGGAACTGTTGCTTATTTAATGTTACCTGGTGGCCACCTATGAACCTTAGTCATGGAGGGAAGCATCATTACCCACACCCATTCACACATCATACATCGAAGGATAACACCTAGAAAGAAACATCTATACCCTGAGCGTGTTTCGAATTCCAAACCATTTACTTCACAGTCAAACACGTTAACATATTATTCGATAATTAGATAGGTTCGAGACGTAACTACCACTACAATTATTAAACATCAAATCTCAAGTATATAAGACATGCTAACTCAATTCAATCTTGAGAAACCTTTTGATAGATAACAACTCTCCCTAAATCTTTATATTATAAATAATAAACTAAAAAATATTGATATTGGAGATTATAGAGGAAAGGGTTATATTTTAAAAGCATATAGTAATGGTCAGAGATGATTGTGATCCAGAAAAAATTTAGATTTCCAGATTTTTTGCTAACCGCGTTCTGGAAGTTTCTGGAAATCCAAGGTCCAGAAGTTTTAAGAAATCACTGATCGCATTAATGTATAAAAACTCTTGTATATATTTTTTTTAAAATATTAGAACTATAATTTATACTTGGCATCTCTTTCATTTGTAAATATTTTTTCTAGTAGAATAATAAAAGTGATTAGAGGTAAAATTAAACTTATACTTAATTGTTATAGGCTGCATATAATTTATTTGGAATTTCATGTTTTGAAAATATGAATGAATTAAATTTATAAAGACATTAATTTTTTGAAATGCTTCATTAATGATTTCACCCAAGAAATTTTCTGGATTTTTGAGTTGGGCTCACAATCACCCCTGAATGGTATAAGTTCTGAATAAAAAAATGTTTTAATAATATGGGATAATCAGATGTACAATTAAACAAGTTTTCGTGTTAGTTACGTATATAATAATTGAGGACATATGTAATAATTTAATTATAAAACTTAATCCGTGAAATTTACTTTTGCATTGTTAGTTTTGCACAAAACCATACTCCTGCATGTATTAGTTATAAAAATAAAGCGATTGTTACCTAAACTGGCATCCCTGTTTTTCCTTTTCACTCTCTTAATGCATGCTTTGTAGAAATAATCTCTTCTTCTTCCTCCTGTAGTCGCATGAAGAAGCTCATACTTTATCTGTAGATTGGAATACTATCCTGGTTAGTACATCTCCTTCAATTCTTTAAGAAGAGTATATCTCCTAAGTATTCCTATATCTCCTAAGCACCTCCTAAGTATTTTATGCTTGCTTTAGATAGGATTATTTATTTTAATTTGTGTGCTTGCTTGAAAGTGTTCTATGGTTTGATCAGAAAATGTGTTATATCTGTATTTTTTTTCTTTATTTGTAGTTAAGACCCATTTTAAAAATCATAGGTCTTGATTTTAAAATATATTAAGTGTTCATATTTTGTACACATGCTTAAATTGTTTTGCAATCTCGCTACTTTATTAACTAATTTTAATGTATTGGGAGATAATCTGACAGCCTGGATCACCCCCGTGATCTTTTTAAAAGAAAATGTATTTTTAGTTGAAAAATCCGTTTTTTATTGTTTAAGTACTAATTTTTATCAACTAAAATAATTTGATTCATTTAACAAATTTTGTAATATTTATTTATCTTTATAAGTTTATTTATTTTTATAAGTTTTTAAATTCGGATGATCCAAAAATGCCAGATATTTTTAAAGTGCCATCAGTCTAAAAAGAGTGAATACTGATCTATAGTGAATACTGAGTGATACTATAAAAGAGCTGTGTCTCTTTTTCTTTATACAAAAGTTATTGAGATGTTTAAATTTTCGTGCATAAAAATAGCAAAACAAATAGTAGTTTTAATAGTTTCTTTAACATGGCACATTTTTATTAAAAAACTTGTTTAGGTTGTACAAAACATTTTAGTATGAATGCAATTTCTTTTAAAACTTGCTTATTTTATTTTAAAGAATAATCAATTGCAATAATGAACAATATTTTGTGTTACAACAATAGAGTGCAACGAAGACAAGATATCTCGTCCGTGGCGATGAATGAGTTAAACCATCCTTCATTTGAGCATTGATAAAAATTAAAGAATAATCTAGAGTTAGAAAATAATAGTAACCATTAAGATAATAAAAAAGTTACTCTTAGGAAAGAAATCATGCAAACGATATGAAAAAACATTGGACGAAAGTCCAATGTGATGGATTTTCCTAGGAATTCCGCAAGAAAAAAAATGAATGTTTAAAGATCTCAGTGAAAAAATTTAAAAACCTCATATTTTAATTATGATTATCCTATACTATGATGAAATTAAATAGCTTATGAAGATACAGTCAAACCCCGCTATAGTGATCATGGTTTATAGTGAACTCCTGGTTATAGTGAATAAAATGTTCACTCCCCTGCCTTGCTACACATGTATAATGTTATTCTTTGTAGATATAATGAACCAAAAAAAGAGAGGAAGTTGGATATTATGAACTTTCTTCTGATTTCGACTTATTTTCTTCATTTTTTTGTAATAATTTTGAAATTTCTACTTGAAAATAAATTCATATACCGCTTTTTAGAACCATTTATAGCATAGAATGTAGCAATAAGCATTTTTTCTTATTTGCTTCATTATTGAATACCATTATTGAATTGGTTCAGCATTCAAAGAAGCCACAATCTTACAGTATCTGGATAAATGCTTCAAGTCAAAGTCTGAATTTGCTAAGAAAGTTGGTGAGACTACTTTTATGATACAGGTTTAAAATGCGGAATAACATAAATTCAGGAAAAATTATTGGGGAGTTGGGAAGTGTTTCCATATGTGATGTTGAGTATTGCTCATTAGTTAAAAATTACTAATTTATTTTGTATGCAAGTCGAAAGGTAATAAAAAAATTTAAGTTAATGCATTTTTTGATACTATGTTTTATTTTTCAGTCATTTTTGTATTTCATTTTATGGATCATTTATTTGAATAATGCGTTTTAAAAGGGGGGGAGTTTGGAACCATCAGTAAAAATTGTTCGTGGAACGGATATAGTGAAGTCCCGGTTATAGTGAATGGAAATTTTGGTTCCTTGAAGGTTCACTATAGCGAGATTTGACTGTAGTACTATGAGGAAATTGAATAGCTTCATAAGTTAATGTTGGAATGTATTAATTTTGAAAAACCTATTCCCCAGGAGCAGAGGTTGAAAGAACTAGCCAAACAGACTCCCGATGCTATCCCCAAAGTTCCCAGCCCCATACCACCTCCTGTATCTGTGAGTCCCCCTGCCAAGCCAAAAGAAACAATGAACTCAGAAAAGCCCTCATCCGATTTGATGTCTCTGAATCAACCAGTTTTAGGTGGAGGTTTCATACAGGCTGTCCCTTACCCACAAGAAGGTATAATATTTTTGTTTATTATGTGTTTTGAATTCATCTGTTGAAATGTATTTGAACAAAATCTTTTTGTCCTATTCAAATATCCTAACATTATCTGTATATACATTTAACATATCTGTGTTGCAAAGTAACGATTATAATTATGCTTTCTATTGTACATTCTTAAAGTTTTGTCTTGTCCACATAGAGGATTGATCATAAAGACGTGGTTCTCAGTAGAACACTAAATTCAAGCATAACTGACTACGTTCAGTAAGCGGGTGGGTAACCACTTTGATCGGCCTGCATAGGGACCGAGGGTGTGCGGTATTAGTCCTCATAAACTGTTCTACTCCTAAGTTCTTTATTTCATGCGCAGGTCGTTAGACTACAAAAACAGGGGAGCCATGCCTGCTGCAGAGGATCGAAATTGCAATGGTATGTTTTTGAATCATCATTAGGGATGTTTCACGGGCCGTTGCCAATAGCAGAGATGCCACCTTGCTCTGGACATCGAATAAATATTTTCGAGTGGTAACTTATTAATTGTGATTCTTGGTTTAATAAATTCAATTTATTAGGTTTTTATCCACCACTATTTCCAAATAATTCGAAGGCTTAATATAATTCGCCACTTAGTTAAAGTTAAGTCATATTAAAACTCTTAAAAAGCATGCAAAATTAGTCAAATATTTTCAAATTTAGTTTGTAGTTATTTACTATTATTTAAATTATTTAAGCGTGTCCGGAGCAGTTAGCATCTCTGCAGTAGCCCATTGTGTTGCAAAGATGTACGGTATCAGTCCTCATAAACTGTTCTACCCCTAAGTTCTTTATTTCTCCCTCAGGTCGTCGGGCTATGAAAACTGGGGAGCAGGGATCTGCAGAGGATCAAAAATTTTGATGGCAGGTCTTTGGATCATCCTTAGGGATGTTTCCCAAGCCGTCACCAATAGCCCATTGTACAGCTCTAGTGTGACATAAATAAACTGCCTACCTAACATTGCAATTGTGGATTTTTTTTTTAATATCTGGTTTATCAGTAAAATGAATTAATTGAATGCAAGTACAGAGTTTATCAAATAGTCCAAATTTTAATTTCTTTTTTTTTCAGCATTGTATTTATGTTTTGTTTTATAAATTTTTAAGGAATCCCTAACATTTCTTACATATTCTATGGTATGAAAATAATGTGCTTTTTTTTTGTGTATAATTTCGGTTGAGTTCTGAAATCTACTGGATTTTTTCACCTTTATGTTGTAAGCTCTGAAATAAGTTTGAATAATTTAATTTTGTCTCATGTCAAAAATATTGCTACATATAGACTACCAAGTATAGGCAGAGTTGTATATGTTATTGCCCATTCTTACTGACAAACACTATACCCTTAATAAAATCTGTGAATAAACAGCTACTTTGATTGTAGTTTCCAGTACCATAATCTAAACATTCAATACGTGAGACCGGAACTCCAACGTCAGAAAACGTCGCATTGACAGTGATTGTTTTTAAGCAGGTTACATTTTCCTTCAAATACTTTTATCTTTATTGTGATTATGTCAAAAATGACCATTTGTATATGTAGAGCGGTCAAAGAACAGGGAAAAGTCAGGCAGGGTTGCCACTCCACAGGGAGAACAGGGCAAACCTGGAAAATATAGGGAATTTAAAAATCACTTAAAATAACAGGGAATTTTAATCTTTTCTTTAGAAACTGGGAATTTTGTTTCCTATTTTTGTCTTTTAAAAAACCACTCAAAGTGATATTTAACCATGGATATTTAACCATAATATTTCAGCTATCCTAAACTATTTCATTTACTATAGCATTATTTAAGTATATTCAGCTGTTTTTCCGACAATTAAAACTAATGATTATAGTTAGCCCAATTGTTGTTTCCTCTTAATATACTGTGTATAATATGCACAGGGAATTTTTTTTTTTTTTCCTGATTTGAGTGGCAACCCTTTCAGAGAATTTTATTTATCTGGAAAAATTCGAGAAACGTCTAGGAATTTAACCAAAATAACTTAAAAGTCACAGAAAATGAAAATGTTTTAGGTATCTAAAAGTTTAATACTTTTTGCCAGAAAATTGGTCAATTTATTTTCAACTCAAATAGCATGTAAAAATGTATAGCATGTATTTTCAGAGCATTTGGTTCTACCCTCATATGTAACACCTGGCTATAACCCCCGTGGCAGAATCACAGCGACATTGTTGCAGGACATTAAAGAATTCCTCCTGAGAGGTTTTATGTTTGGGAAGCAAAGAAGTTTAGGTTTTTTATCTGCAGAATTTTTTGAAAATTTTTTTCTTCTACAGAACTTTTTTTTCCTTTTTTTGCAGAATTGTATTCAAAAAATGCATTTATCGCATATAAGAAAAGGAAAAAGTGGCTTGTGTTTCTTTTTTTTTTTTTTTTTTTTTTTTTTTTTTTTTTTTTTTTTTTTTTTTTTTTTTTTT